CCCCAAAACCCCAAAACCCCAAAACCCCAAAACCCCAAAACCCCTGAGCAAAATAGATAATTGAATAATAATAAATATGGAATTAAGGAAAAGGACTACTGTCCATAACGAATCAATTGACGAAGCCTCTCCACTCCAGATTGATGGGGATCACTGTGAGCATACTAATGGCAATGATATTGTAAAACCACTTACTTCAAGGCTGAGTCTTTTAGGCTCACTTAGTTCAGATTTTAAAATTCGTAACTGTTCACCATTCATATTTTTCTGATAATGTGTCTAGGACATCAACAGTATTGACCTCACCGAGTGGGAGATCAAGTAAGTAGAATATCCACTAGCCTTTAGGAAACTCAAGAGAGAAGCGAGGAAGAAGAAGTGGGTTAAAAGACTGAATATTTGTACTGAAAAGCTCCATGCATTGATCTGGGTACTCGTAGCAGCATTTGTAATCTACAAGACTAACTTCTTCAGAGTTATATGGGAGCATCCTTACCGAAACATCATCTTCTTGGATATTTGAGTGATTGGACTCACCATATACCTTGTGATGGTTGTATATCTTACCTTGTTCTTGCCAATATTCAGAGGTATTGAGAATTGGGAAGAAGTTTATCCAAATGTGATTCCGTTCTTATCAATAGTAGGCGTGGTGACTTTCTTCTCCTCCTTCCTGGCTTTCTTCCCAATATGGGGATTCTTGACTGTTCCCATAATCCTGGTAATCTTCATGGGATACTCTATGTCTTTGACTTTCTTGCCAGGAGGATATTTTGGAACTCTTTTGGCATTGCTACTGCTGTTTGGAATGTCTGCTACTTCTCACTACATTCCTCATGAAGGACATTGGCAGAATCTTCCTTCTACTCAAGAATTGTAGATCCTTTGATAGCTCTTGTATGTAATGAGAGATTCTACAAGTTTCTTTCTGAGTGTACATTAAGGATTTAAATTTAGGTATACAAATTTAGCAGAATAAATTCAACTTGATTTTATGAAAATGGGGTTTTGGGGTTTTGGGGTTTTGGGGTTTTGGGG